GTGTTTTAGGTTGTTATAAAGCATATCGTTCAGTTTGAGCATTTAGATGAATGTAGTTATGTTTCACCTTCTTAAACTAATTTTATTCTATATTTAATATATTGATAGCTTAGGTGTAAAACCATTTGTACATAGTAAAGGCATAATGGAATTAGTGAAGTAGGAAAAGTTGGGTGGGAGCATAAAGCTACTGGTGGCCTGGAAAAAAAATAAGTCTTGGCCCGTATTTTAGAAGTCACAATGTTTTATTCATACATCTTGTTTTATATCGGGGAGGGGATAGCTAGAATGTGTTATGAAATTTTTGGAAACCTTTCCTAGCATTAGTCAGGAGGTTGGCCTTGCAGTGCTGTCATGGTCAGCTACCTAGAATTCACTTGTTTGTAGAGTATATATTTTGATTGTCGGTAAAGATAACAACTTTGTATTTTTTCTGCACTTAATTTGTGTAATTAATCCACACAACAGAGTTTTCTATAACATGGTGAAGTCGACAAAAGACGTAATTTCTCCTACCTGTTAATCTGTGCTTGCAATATTTCAGTAATTTTATTTAAGCCATCAATAGGAAGCAGCAGAAAGCTGCAAATTTCAATTTTTTTTTTTTGCTCATTACATTTGTAGTGTGCCTGTTCATCAGTTTTCTTTACAGAAAGCTTGTAGAATTTTCTATTTGCTGCATATATCTATTTAAAAAAATGCAGTCATTTTTTAGCTTTTGTGAAAGCAGTTATTGCTTACAAATTGCACGATGATTTTCTAGTGTGTCTCCATTACTTAGCAAATTGGTTTTTTTCAGGGTTAGTGGTTCAGTTGGAAAACGCTTGAAAAACGAGTTTTAAGCACTTCATCAAGCACAGCAAACACGGTATAAAACTTTGCTATTTGAAAATGGATTAAATGTAACAATACCAATTGAATTTTTTTTTTTCTTCTAAGAGATACCTCACTTAAAGGAAAGCACAGCTGTACTGTATTTAAACTAATTCTAGGAAATAATAAAAAAGTTGGTCTGAAATATTTCGTTGCCATCAGCGTTGCTTTCTGTGATTGACAAAACGTTTTTGTGTTTTCATCCTCGCTCTCCAAAGTATTTTTTGCTGTTGACATGCCAGTATAATTCTCTCAAATGACAGAAAGTAGCTGCAAAACAACCGAGTCCGTGTGAGCTCGAGGCAACAGGTTGAATGACTATTCTGAAACCGTAGGAAAAACGATCCGTGCATTCAACAATTTTTAATACTTTGCCAATGATGTACAGTCTTATTGTCAGCGTTGCTGTGGTTGCATTACATGACACACAGAACTGTCCTCTACCTCACGTGAGATTTAACAGATATTTTATATGGTTTTAGTAAACAAGATGCATCTATCTGGTCACTTAGTTTACAAATTTTGAATTATATTTATTGAAACATGACATACTGTGCTCTTAGCTTATACCTCAATTGTATTTTGTGCTGTTATCCATTTCCATGCCTTGTAAATACCTGTATAGATCGTGGATTCAAAAGCAAATAAAGAACTGTAATGTCAGAACACTTTGTCTCTGTCGTATTTTTGAACACCGACTTCTAAACTTGACTCTTTGAAGGTGTTTAACACGAGGACAGAGCCTTCCTTGCTTTGATTACAGCAAATTAAAACCTGATTATGCTGAAATTTGTTAGCAGAACTCCCGTGGCCTGCAGCAGGTCCCCACTTCTCTAGAGGGTGTTTTTAGCAAAATCTACAAGATCAAAGCTCTCCCTCCCCATGACTCCACTTCCTAAAGCTCTTATGGCTCTGTCAAAGTATTGACAGTAAGATTTCTGTGTATCTTGGCATAAATTTGGGGTTTATACCTGTAAATACAACCACTTGATTGCTTGGCAAGTTCTGTGGTGCTCAATTTTGTCACCACTCAGCTGCTCAAGCAATGTTTGAGTTGTTCACACCTCTCTTCAAGAGCTCAATAATGCATGAGGTTAAAACCACACATTACCAGAATAAATGCTGAGTTTATACAAAGTTAAAATCAGAAATGAGAATTTTACTGTGTTTCCTGAAAAAATGGTTACTGCTGATGGGAAATGTTTCCTAGAGCAACTCTTGGGAGTTCTCAGTTTTTGTAAACCACGTGATTGTGTTGCTTAACACAAGTTTTGTGTCCTATCAGAGAGCTTAAATAGCAGAAAAATCAGAATAGGAGAGGGAAAGAGCAGTTGAGATGAAAAAAGGGAGCAGTTCCTCTAAGCTGTATATGAATGAGTCTTCCATTTACCTTGAGCTTCCACCACTTATAACAATAAACTGTATTCTGTTTGTCACTTAAAAACACCCTGTATTGTAGTAAAATAAAACTTTTGGCACAAGTAATATTTTGGAGGTTTTCCGGGTGATTTTATGCATCCTGAGAGTTTTTTCTAGGCAGATAAGAAAGCACATTCACATACACACACTTTGGTATTTTTTCCTCTCCTCAAATCAGTGCAAAAATGCTTTGTCCTTGTTTTAAGGAACTGTTCTTGCATATAGGAAATCCTGATGATGATTCAGGTTATTGCAAACCCTTAATGCTACCATGTACTTGCCCATGTTTTACAGCTGAGGAGAGAAAGGGGTGGTATGAGCCAGGATAAATTGATATTTTCATGAGCTCAACCTTCAGTATAGAAGAAAATTAATAACAAGCTGTACCACTTAAACCTGCTTTTATTCTGCATCCTATCTTGCATTTTCATACTGCTGTGTTTCTAAATAAGGAGCAACTGGAGGGCTGAAGATGTAAAGAAGAAGTTCAAGGTGAGTCATCTGGATGAGAAAGAGCCATGGGGTGTTGATAGCTTGGCTATGACTAATTGCAGCTCCTGTCTTTTGTCAGAGAGAACAATGAGGATCAAACAGAAACTGTGTGAGTGAAGGGTGAAAAGTTTGATCTTTAAGGAGTTCACACTTGCTGAAATAAATGTGTGTGCAGCAGTGTCTTTTAAAAGGGTAACTTTTAAGACTGTGGCCCAAAGTGATTCAGTTTCTTTGGCATATTGCTGGGAAGTCATTCTTATTTCTTATTTTATTGATCTTGTAAATCATTGTTCACTTGTCTCATAGTAACTTATACTCACTTAACTACTGATGGCGTGATTTATAAGACAGATAAAATTCTGTCTCTATCGACATTAGTGAAATAATTCACACTGTGCCCTGCGGGCTCCAGCTCCAGTACTATTGAATAGTGTTAGTTACCAAAGTGTAAAATTTATTCCTTGCCTGTTTAGCTGCTGCACAGTCCCTGATAAATACATTTGTGAAGGAAAACATGGAGTTAAGAAGGTTTTGTGGTTAAGGAAGATGTAACTGTAGGAGACCAAATTACAGAAGGATGTGTTTGCAACCTGCAAATTAATACCTTGCAGCATTTTTAAAATACTTTTATTGTGCATTAGGATGCACCTGCACTATCACTGTGTAAAATGCCTCTAACCTCAGCCTTGGGATGAAATTTGTAACCTCATCTCCTTCCAAATTCAGGAGGTGACACGTGATCCATCCAAAGCAAATGTGCAGTCCAAGAAGTGGAACAACACTAGTTTCACTCAAGAGAAGACAAGTTTATCTACTGAATAATAGATAAACGGGGATATTGTTTGGAGAAAGATTAAATCTATCTAGAATTGAACTCTAGGCAACATAAAAATGGTGGTTGGATGTAAGAACAACATGCTCCACTAGAAGTGGGTGCAGTAGAGGAGTAAGTTATGTAGGTAGCTGGAATAGCATCAGGAAAGTCAATTTTTCGCAAAAATACCATAAACCAGGTATCACAAAAAAACAAGGAGTAACCAACAATATAAAACAAATGTAAAAACAACTATTAAACTTCTATTTATTATAAAAGTTTCTCTTTAAAGATAATTTTCAGCTATTTATGTAGTAACTCCAATGTGTGGATGAAGCTTCGTGACAAAACTGTGCCCTCAATGTCCTTGAATTTTGAATCTAAGGAACAGGTGACAGATGAGGTTTAGGATGCTCTTGTTCATGTTTTTCACTTTATTTGCTAAAAAATGGGAAAAAATACCACTGGACGAAAGAGGGTGAAGAGCAGGATATATTTCATTCCCGACACCTTAATCGCAGAGTGGAGCTTCCAGTATTTCTCACTAACAGCTCTAGGAGTGAATTAAATCCATTGTAGTGTCATTTTTTCGCCTCTTTTCCCTCCCCGTGCACCACAGACAGATCTCCACTAGTGGTCTCTCCAGGCACGTGGCATCTGCCGAGATCCAAACCTTCCCCTGGCAAACCCAGCAGCGCTGGAGGAGGATGCACAGTGAGGAAATATCCTTAGGAGTGTGTTGGCACGCGATAACTCATTTATGTGTTGTGAAAATACAAAGCAACGTTAGGAAAATATCCTGCCTGCCTGCTTTTCCTGATGCAGAACGAGCTGCAAAATTTCCCTTCTTTTGTCATTTTGAAGCAGGCTGTTCCTGTTCTATTAAATACACTAAAATTCATATAATAAATTGACTCAGACTAAAAGTCTCAGTTAAAATCTGCTTATTCTATTTTGAGCGTTCAAAAGTGGAAATAAGATGCTGTAAAAAATACAGATATTTAAGACTCGGTGACTGTTAGTTAATACTTCTGAAAACCCGGGTGCACCAGAGAATGCAGTGATGGGTCTTTTATATTTTTACAATTACTGAAAACACCCAAGAGTGATTTTGTCCCTTTACTGCAGCCGTGCTGATGGCTTTGGTGAGATGATCAGTTCCACCTCTCCAGTAACACTGTCCACCACGTTTCTTCCCTCATCATTCCATGAGGAGGTACCAGTGTGACCATTTGTCTTCAGCTCACAAACACTGCCTTAATTTTTCTCCGTCGATGCTGAATTTTGAATAGTCAGGCTGTTTGCATTTGAATAAACCCCTCTGGTTTGTTTTTCAGGCACGGCTGGGTGTGATTGTGCATCTCCTCCTCTCCACACCCTCCTTCCCCTCGGACGCTCTGGATGAACTGGCAGAAGTTGGGGCTCCCCGCTCGCTCCTCCCATGTGTTGTGGGGCTGGAGGCAGCTCTGACCCCTCCCAGGGAGGGAGCTGGGCAGAGGCAGCCGAGTTCTTTCAGCAGAGCCTGATCAGGGACCTCATCCTGCCAAACCCCATCCCTCCTGCTCCCAGCAGCCGGGATCTCGCCGGGCGGCTTCGCTGAACCCCTGTGGGCACTGTCCTGTCCAGCTCGACCCACCAAGGGACAGAGATGGTGGCCACCTGCCTGCACCTGGCTGGATTTGTCTGCAGTTTTATAGGGTGGATTGGGGTGGTTGTGGCGACGGCCACCAACGACTGGGTGGTGACCTGCGGCTACACCATCACCACCTGCAGGAAGATGGATGAGCTGGGATCCAAGGGGCTGTGGGCAGACTGTGTCATGGCAACAGGTCTCTATCACTGCAAGCCCCTCGTGGACATCCTCATACTGCCAGGTAAGTGTGTCCCATCCTCCCCCTTCCACCCAGAGTGAAGGGTGAAGCCTTGCCCGGAGCAGCTCAGGTCCTGCTGCCAGAGGAGCTCGTGGTGAAGCTCCTTCAGCTTCATCAGCACAAGAGATGGTCCATTAAATACCCTAAAGAATGTGAATGATAGCTCTTAACAGGATTCCTATTGATTTATACCTGGTTTTAATCATACCCAGGTATCGTGTTATCTGTGGCTACGAAAATCCAGTTAATGTTTAATCATTGCTCTGAGTAAAAGCTCACTGTTCCTCTCATATCCTGTCTCTAGATTGCACTGCAAAACATACAGAGCACACTGAGGTGTAATAGAGTATTTCAAGAGGATGGTGAACTATTACAAACGTTAAGGCTCAATTCCTTAAAGTGATTTGGAGCACAATGAATCTTTCAGCATCTATTATTAATGCTCCTATGGCTTTTAATCTTTTGGAAGATCATCATTAGTCTTGATGGTCTTGTGCTTCCCTCAGGTTCTAAGGCAAGACAGAACTTTTACACAGCAAACAGATGTAACTATATTTAACTTGTCTTGATGTTTTTTAATGATACAGCAATTTTCACCTAGTTTATTACAAAGCAAAAATTAAACAAGGTGTTTAATTAGCATTTTGAGCTAATTAAACCTGCCAAAGTCTAGTGAGGTCTGGTCCCTGTAAGTTTAGTTTGTGATCTCTGTTAACTCTGAAGTGCTTCATTCTCCTGTGCTTTAAATTGCAATTCCTATATCATGTCAGAGATGCCTCTCCCAAAGCTGACAGCATAGAAATTACTATTCTTCGTCATTTTCTTTCATGTTTCTTGGTTTATTTGTTTAAACTGATGTGAAAATTATTTTACCAGAGGTAAAAGGGATTGTTCCTGACTTTCTCTCTGTTACAGAGCTTGGTCTGTGTCACACAGTGCTCAGCAATATTGAGTCTCTCAGATTCACTCCTGTTCTCCCTTTCTCTCTGTGTGTGTATACTTTTATTTTAGAGGGTTTGCCTTTCTTATTACTCCTGTTGTTAAATCTGATCCAGCAGAGAAGTCAGTGTTTGTCCCAAAGAAACTTTATTGAATGCAACTCAATAAATAGGTAAATGAGTCTCACATTAGCAGAGAGTAAGGCTTCCCTCCAGCAGAAACAAATTACAAACCGAGATGTTTCTGCTTGTAGCCTGTTTGATACCCATAGCTTGCCATGAGAGGGAAATTTATCCTGGTGAAATTTATCCTGGTGTGCCCAAGAGTCTTTCATGGTCTGAATCAAGTCTTTAAAATTAATTGTTGGTATTCTCGTTTAATTGGAAGTGATTGCACAGAAACCTCACTTGGCACTGCCATCACCTTTGTTTAAGGCCTTGTTTTACGCCCTGAATTCCTCAGGTAACTTTTTTTGTTAAGTTTCCTCTTGAAAAAAAATCAAGCAAATATTCAATATACGGAGAGTCTGCATTTCCAGGAACAGTAAGTCCTCGTTCCTGGTGCCATACCCGTGTGTCAGTGGGACATGCTTGAGGCTCCAGTGTGCTGTTGTTTTTTGAGGCATCATGAAACCCTGTGTCTGTATCTGGCAGCTTTGTTATTGAGAGGGTACAAGGAGCCAGCACACCCGCTGAGACTGTCTCAGAGCTGGAGGAGGTCACCAGATACTGGGGCAAATCTGACACTGGTTCGTTTTCTTTTGCATGCAAGTAATGACCTGCTTTAATGTGTTTATAAGTAAATTTTATATAGTATATATACATTGTATCTAAAATAAATAAAATTTATATATACAGTCTACATATAAATATTTTTAAAATCATATATTAGGATACACAGACCCTCCCAGAGTGGCAGAAATGCCACAGTCCTGCCCAGCACACCCACAGCCCCTGTTTCCCTGTTGTTTCTTGCTGCCTTGTGTACAGGGACAGGCAGGAGAGGAGTGGGAGATGATGAAAAGCCAGGAGATCCTGTGATGTCTGTAGGGACCCAAAGGACTAACGTGGCCCTCAGTTATGGCAACTCAGGCAGCTCTGCAGAGTACAGTCACTTCTCCCTAAGGAAGGGCTGTGCCAGTGGTCAGCTCAAGCCATGGATCTCCTCTGAAACCCCACAACCAGGCTGAGCTCCAGGGGTGCAGCGCTGGCATGTGGTTGAGGAATGTCCCTCCTCCTCCTCCTCCTCCTCCCAGGTCAACGTTGCTCAGCACCTCAGGGCAGCTCCTCGTAGTATTCCACAGACCTGAGAGTTTCACTAGTGGGTCTTCCACTATTCAGCCCTCTGAATGATGGAGATTCTTTAAAACTTTAAATGCCTGTGTTTAACCTTGAAGACTGCAAATTCTTGTTATTTAATCAAAGCTCTTGCTATAGAAAAGCTATAGGAAAACTCCTTCCTAGCCATTTCTTCTACTTTCCCTTCCCATATTTTCCAGCTCCATGATTTCTCAGTGTCTTGCTGGGAAGAGCTTGTGTTTTTCAGGCAATGCTATTTGTTTGTTGGAAAATTCTGAGCCTGCACATCCTGTACTCATGCACTGCCCACTGCACTGTGGCCTCACTGGCTCACGCCTGGCACAGGTTTAATGTTTACGTGAGGGATGATCCCATCTCCCATACTCCATGCAAGTCTCGGGATCTAATCAAACAGGAGCCTTTCTCCAAAGGTCTCTTTCTCTTGTGCCAAATAACCCAAATCCTCTTTTCTTGCCTTGCCAACAGGGTATGTCCAAGCATGTCGAGCACTGATGATCGCTGCCTCCGTCCTGGGCCTTCCCGCCATATTCCTGCTGATAACGGTCCTGCCCTGCATCCGGATGGGCCACGAGCCTGGAGCAGCCAAGTACCGGCGGTCCCAGCTGGGAGGGATCCTCATCATCCTCCTGGGTAAGGCACCTGCTGCGTATGGAGAGCTGGAGCTCTTCCCCTGCTCCAGGATGGCACGGTGTGGGCTGGCTGAGCGTGTTCACCTGGAAGGACGTTTGTCCAGGTTGGGCTGACTCTGGAGCTCTCCAGCATCCCTGCAGTCTGTGGGGTGGACAAAAGGCACAGACAGGAGTGGGGGGACAAAGACAGGAGGCAGGGAGTGAAGCAGGGTGAGGGAGGAGGGATGGGAATCCCCCTGTCTCTGTCCTGTGAGTCCTCAGGCACGGCCTGCAGGCACTGGTTTTGCTGGTTCGCTGTTGAAGCCACGTTATTTTTGGAAAAAGGTCTAAACTACCAAGCTGCTTCCAGGGAATGGATGACCTCCAAATTTTGACAGGGCATTGCAAATGCAACAGGGTGAAATAAAGGGAGGTGTGTGGGAAGGGAAAGCCCCTACTGAGCGAGTGCTGGTCCTGTGGAAGCAGTAGGGGAAGGAGCACAGAGCGGGCATGGACATGGGAAGAGGGCTGGTGTGTCTCCTGTGTCTCCCAACCCCCTCTGACCAGCCTAGTCCTTGGCCTCCAAGTTCCCCTGGGAATTTCTTCCCGCCCTCAGTGCTTGTGGAGGAGATTGTTTTGAGCAGCACAGACTGTGGAGCTCATTGTCCCCCATGCAACACCTGCATGTTCTTGAAGCCTCGTCATCTCAGCAACAGCCTGCGGTGCCTTGTTTTCACCCGTCTGTGTGGCAGAGGAGGAGGGGGGAGGGAAAGTGGCCTCTTTGTGTGGCTCTGCTGGTCACTGGCAGCCAGCACTGACATCATGCCCGTCTTCTTTCTTCTTCTTCTCCTTATTTTTTTTCAAGTGGGCACTGAATATAGGCTGCACACTCAGAAGGGATGTCCCCTGGGTGCTCCTTCTATGCAAGTGATCCCTACTCTGGCCCCCTGTGGTTAGTACAAGTCCATACATCCCAATCTAAGGGATTGAGTCCAAGGGGCACTATTAGTATCTGTAGGGTTTAGGGGCACATTATCGTGGTTGGAAGTCCTAAAATCAGCTTTATAGGGCCTGTTTTGAACATCCTAATCATAAAGAGCCACATTAGGGAGCTGTTAGAATGCAATTTTCATCCCTGTCCCAAAACCTTGAGTCACAGATTCGGGCTCAACAAAATGAAAGAATAAGTGGGGTTATTTTCTGCCTGTGAGTGAAACTTCAGTGCTGGAGGAGTCTGCCCAGGATGAGGAGGCCCAGCAGAGCTGAACTTTGTCACAAAAGCCAGGAGTTTCTGATTCTAGCCAAGGAGAACCATGCTGCAGGTCAGCCCTGCTTCTGTGGCTGCAGACATGGAGGCAGGAGGATTGACCCTAAAAATCCCAAAGGGCAATGGGTTGACAGGACCAGAACAGATGTGGCAAATTGCAGTGATAATATTGGATAATGCTGCATTAGAACAAGTGAAACCCCATATGCTGCAGTGTCACACCAGGATTTGGGTCTGCTGTGCCACTATCCTGTCTTGGTCGTGCTGTGGTGGGACACCAGGGAGGAGAATAGATGTGCAAGGATGATGGAGAGTTGTGGTGCTCCATAAGCCAGGCTCCCCTCTCCCTCTGAACATGGTTTTCCCACTAGGTAGATCCTGTGAGGAAAGGAAATGTTTTTTTAAGAAAAAACAAACCAACCCACATTTACTTTTATAAAGCCTAAATTCTCCCAGGCTGATCAGCAAGACAGTCCATTTGGAAGAAGAATAATATACAGAGCTTTGGACTTTGACATAGTTTAGGTTGATGAATTATCTGTTACTTGCAAAATGAGGTGTTACCATTTCAGAGCATTTAACAAGCACAGATCAGGCCTTGAGAGATATAATACCGACTTAAAATCCATTATATTCTAGAAGTAACATGCTCTGGACTGTTCTTATTTCCCCCTGGCCACTGAACTCTCACTTGTGGTTTCCAGAACCTCACAGGCTCCAGACGTTTCCTCTTAGGAGAGAGCAAGTTCCAGAGCTCTGGCTAAAAGAAAACAACCCCCAAAACACTCCTCAACCCAGCAGAAATGGGGAGTGGGAATGCAATCAGGGAAACGGGCCCCATGGCAAACTTCGCTTCCTTGGGGAAGGGATGGCAGTTTGTCACTGACATTTATTACAAGGGAAAATAGGGGTTGAAACACAGCATGGAGCAAAAAAAAAAAAAAAAATTATATATATAAGAAGTTGAAAACTTGCCAGGAAAACAATGGGCTCAGATATTCCATTGATTTTTCTGTCCACTGATAATCGCAGGCTGCAGAGTGCAACCTGTGTACACACCCTCCTATCCTGTTGCTGATGTGTTTATGGCTTGGCTTGATCCTATCTGACTGAGAGAATTGATTTATAGTTGAAAACAACCATCAGCAGAGGTTTGCTCTGAGCTGGCATGAAAACATTTCATAGGCTGGTGTTGATGGAAAAACCCTGGCCCAGCCCGTGTTGTTGATACTAATCTGGGGTCCCCTTGCTGGTAACCAAAGGGGCATCTTCCTAATGGAGGAGAGAGACTGAGACACTGGAAAACACAGTGAAATATATATCAGTTAATGGGAATTGCTACTACAAAATGACCTGTCAGCTATTGTGTACTAAACAAAGGATGTTAATGAGCTTTTCTGGACACTGCCTGAGTTTTACTTATAAAACCATACGTATCAAGAGAAAAAGATTACCTTGAGCATAGAACAAAAAAATTGTGGATATCTATTATTTCAACCACATGCTTTGAAAGAGAAATCTGTGTGACTTTGAGTCAGCAACTCAGAGTAGTTAAATTTAGCTGTGAAAAAAACCTTCTTTATTCTGTAGAAAGCCTTAACTTACTGTTAAGGAATTTGGCAGGGACTCACTGTCCCTTGAGTAGAGTAATCCTGCTCCCTCTCCCCCAGCTCTCCAAGTACCCTCTGTGCTTCTTGTTTCTGTTCACTTCCATCTGACTCAAATATTCCTGTAATGTAGAATATTAAGAGTTTCAGCTCAGCAGACTGAGCTACTGCAAGTTCACAGTCAAAAAAGGACTTGGAAATGCTGGGAGCTGGGATGTCTCCCTGTGGATTCACAGGAATCTGGTGGAGCAAGGACATTCATGCTGTGCAGAGCTGAGATGTTTTAGGTAGAGGCAGCGGCTTTTACAGGATTGCCTGCTCCAGGTGCAAAAAGCAGGCAAGCTTTCCATACATGTGTGCTCCAAAACATGCCTGTTTTTTCAGCTAACCTGGTTGTTCTAATAGAAAATATTCCTTCTGTTTGTTGAAGGACTTCCTTTTCTCCTAGGCTATATTGGCTACAGCAGCTCTACTGTCTGAAGACTTTCTTATTTAGAGAGAGGCAAAGGGTGTCTCAGCAGTAACAGAAGAGAAGGGATAATAACTTCCATCTGCACTCCTTTTCCATGCAGGCTACTTGAAATTTGCCCTAAAATGCCTTTTTCAATCCCTTTGGTTTCCTTGTCAAATCACCTGGTTTTTTTCAGCCTTTCCCTATGATACAACTAGACCAATATTTGAGTCCATGGAGAGGTATTCCAATTGCTGACTGTCCTTTTCCCATCTCCTCTGAGGATTTACAGCCCAACCTCATCTGTGCAGAGCAATGAAACCCAGTCCTGTTCCAGGGCATCCCTCTTGCTCAGCAACAGGGTCACTGGTGACTGATGGCAGCTGGTGGCCTCCAAAGGCAGAGAGGTCAAAAGGACCCATGCAAAGTCCTTGACTTGTGTTTCACAGCTTTCTGGTATTGTCAGCACTAAAATAAGATGGGTTTACATGTAGTGGAGCCACACACACAAGAGATGCCATTGTGTGAGCATCCCTGAGAGCTCTTCTCACCCCAGTGCAAGTGTTTTCCTTGCTCCTGTGTTGTGGGGGAGGGTCTGGGTAGATAAGGCTCTTATAGTCTATAGACAAAAATATATATATTTATATATATTTACTACTGACAGAAAAAAGAAAAGATGATTGTGTTTTTTCGGACAACAAAGCAGCTTTGTTTCCAGAGCCCATTAGAATGCTTTGTGGATTCCCAACTGATACATTTTTGTTTTAAAGCATTGGAAGCTCATGAGCTGTTTGCAGGACTGCTCCACACGCAGGAGAAATGCTCTTTCCCCTCCCTGCCTTCTCCAAAAATTCCTTCCAAAGCTGCGGGGCCCTTGCTTTGAGGAGGCCCAAAATTATTACTGGCTTCATTAGCATCCTTCAAATGTTCTTCTCTCTTCCATAAGAAAATATTTTCTCTCACAATAACTGCAGCTTTGGGGATGGGTTTTCTGCTGTACTGGCCAGGAGCTATGGTTTGTTCTCTGCTTTAACTAAACAATTTTATTTTTAATTTCACCCCCTTCTTTTTCCCTCTTGCAACCTTAACTTTCTGACACTGCCTCCAGATACCTTTTAACACGGTCGGTGGAATCTGTAACGCTGCCACAGACCTGTTATTGTTTTGCTCTCATTCTCTGATAGCCACAAGGATGGAGTCCTGCACAGCTTGTCCCAGAGGCAAGTAAATATTGACACATTAATTCTTCTCAGATGTACAGGCCATCAAGGAGTATTGTTTTAGGACCTGCTCCTGGGAGGTGATTAACACCATCAACTCCCGTTGCCCTCGGTGCATGCGGGGACTCTGTGGGGACTGTCTCCCTCACATGTCACCTCACAGCACCGCTGAACCAGCATTCCTGCTTTCTGTGGGAAAAAAACTATGCAATTTCAAGTAAAATGCAAATCCTACGGTCATTTTCTGACCCGTTGTACGCTCTAGGTAGACTCCTGTTTAGACCCTCCAGGTCCCACTTCTGTTCAACTCAGTAAGTTTCTGGACAGCCTTGCCAGGTTTGACCCCATCACTTGATAGAAATTTTCCATAGGGAAGCAGAATCTGCTTTCCAGGGTTGTGAGACATTTTCTTCTCCATAAAAAAATCCTGATAACGCTGAACTGCTGCTCATTTCGTCTCTGCCCATTTTCTGCTCCTATTTCATAAGGCCCTACTCTGCCTTGCCGGGATATTTTGGTGACATTTGTGTGACCATTTAGTAGAGCCACTGCAATGATGTGGATTGACATGGGCTGAGGACACAGCACATGGGTCCATGCAGAAATAGTGATTTAAATCAGGTGATTCTGGGCCACTGATTTTACTCTCTCACTAATGCATACAGCTTTTGTGGTCTCACTTCATATTTAACCTATTCCTAATTCTGCAGCCCTCCAGAGCATCAGTTGCAGGGATGACTCTAATTCTTCCTCCTTAAAAATAATTCTAGGGGAACAAATCTTTTTCCCTTCTCATAAACATATCAGATTGTGTCAGGCAGCAGTTGTTTTTTCTTCTTGTCTGCTGGCTCCTGAGAGAGATGGCTGTTCTCTCTCGCTCCCTCTCTCATGAGGCCTCCGGCTCGGAGACCTCTTGGAGGGATGGACTTCGTCTCTGTCCCCTGTCCTACAGAGCCTTCCTTCCCTTTTGGCATGCTGTGTGTCCCGTGGTGGGGTTCCATGCTGGGGTCCCCTCCAGTTTGGAACCCTGACTCTTTCCTCCCCCTCTCTCCCCAGCCATGTGCGGTGTCGTCGCGACGATCTGGTTCCCGGTGTGCGCCCACCGCGAGACCACCATCATGAGCTTCGGCTACTCCCTGTACACGGGCTGGATCGGCTCTGCCCTCTGCCTCTTCGGTGGCTGTGTCATCGTCTGCTGCTCAGGAGATGCCCAGACGTTCGGTGAGAACCGCTTCTACTACGGCTCGGGGTCCAGCTCCCCCACCCACGCCAAGAGCGCGCACGTGTAACCGCCCCAGGGATGCCCCACGGCTGCCGTCGGATGCTTTGGCTGGTGGGTTTGTGTGCCCTGGGTTTGCTCCTACTGACACACACGGCTGTCAGGCTCCCAGGGGGAGATTTAGAAAAAGCAGCACAAATGTCTGGTAGTTTGAAGCATTATTCCCCCCCCATCTGTTCCCCCTTTCTCTAGAAAGACAGCTCCAACCAGCCCTACCTCTTAGTCCCTCCCCAGTTTGTCCTTGACTGCCTGCCCTGTCTTCTTGCAGCCAGGATGACTCAGATGGTTTGGGGTTGTCATGTGGGTTTTAGGGTTTTTAGTTTATTTTCTAGCTCCCCTGATTATAGGAGAGTTTAAAGCAATAAAACAGAAATGAGAGAGACACTTTCCCATTGTTAGAAGGACTCTGACAGCTTCTCCCCCCACCTCACTGTTTCCTTTCCCCTGCTCAAGGTCTCGGCTCTGGCACAGTTGGGGAGAGAGGATAGGGAGGAAGGCTGTCCTCTCCCACCGGGCGAATGTTTCTCTTTTGGAACAAGAGGAGGGGACTTTTCTGCCTTTCTCTGTAAATACTTTTGTATCAGTTTCATCATTTTAGTAACAGTATTTCCCCCACCCCCACAGTCATCAGTATGAAGGAAACCGAACCCAAAGGTCCTAATGACGCGGTAGATAACAGTGCCTTTTCAAATAGTTATAAATGACTTTGGGGGCTCTTATCCCCACCCTCTGGTTTAGTTTCTTATCTTTCTTTTGTACAGACCAGTTACTAAAAATGTATTTTTACATTTTTTTAAACTCCTCGCTTTCCTCCTCTAAGTTTGTGTTCTGTATTTCCTCGTTAAAGCACCACATTTTAACATGCAGTATAATGTACCTGTTACAATACAATTCTGGTGAGTACTGATGATGCCTTTGTACTTTCAGTGAAATACTGTACAATAAATAACAGAGTACCTGCAACCTCTGACTTCATTTTTTTCCTTCCTTCCTGTGTGTTTCCATAGCTAGTTTTTCCATGACAGGAGTTTCCCAATGATTTTGAATATTTTTTTTTTTTGGTAGCAGTTCAGGATGAAAAATTCTGCTCTGCTGTGGCATTAAGTGGGGAATATTTAAAATCTGAGTAATCTTCCTGCACAAAACTGACCGTTATCTTATTCATTGGCTCTTTCGATGTTCCCAGTAGCAGCTTGTACCAGTAGTACCCACTTGTGGGACTCTTTATTATGGAGAAGACTTAGAAACTCCCCGAGGTGGTGGAGATGCACCCCCAGCACTGTAAAATTGAGACCTCATGTTGCTGGAAGTGCTCTCAACTAAAAGAAGAGTCTGATCTGGGGTCATCGCTCTGATTAAAACTCTGTAAGATCAAGATCTGACTCTGTCCTTACCAGAGGCTGTAGCAATTTAATTATGTTGATACAAAATCCCATCTGTTCCCAGAGATGTTAACTCAGTTCAAATAATTTGTGTAAACCAGGAGAAAGAAAAGAGGAATAGCTGCTGTTCAGGGATGGGCAAGGGGAGAGCCACAGTGGAAAGGTGAGGGGAGGAGAAGGGTCTGAACAACCAAATTGTATGGGGTGACGAAGAATAATTTCAAAACAAGGCTGTGGATTCGGGACTGTCCTTTCACCTTGATCTGCTTCAGTAGAAGCCAAATTGTGCAACACAGCCATGGGCAAGGATGTTGCAGCTCCCACCTCCCCCCACCTCCCTGCGGGAAGCAGAGGCTGGAGCATTTAAAACGAGCCAAAGGGAGGTTGATTGTGCTCCACAGCGACCCTTTGCCTGCCTGGGCCAGGGATGGGCAGCAGCCCGAGCATCTGCCTCTAACGCCGCGCAGCCTTGAAGGCGGCTCTGTTGTGTGCGCTGTGCCTCGCCGCCGTGCTGTGCGATGTCCCCAGGGCGGGCAGGGCCGGTGGCAGGACACTTGTGCCCATGACATCACAGGCAGGGCACAGGCAGTTGTTGTACGCGCCGGGCGCTGTCAGTGCTGCCATTGATGTGCGGGTGCCACGGGCGAGGGGGCGGCGCACAGACGTGCCAGCTTGTGCGGGCTGCCCGGGGATTGTGGATTGTGCCCCGCGGATTGAGCCCCGGGATTTAACCCCGGGACTGACAGCGGCGTGGGAGCAGGACACCGCTGGAATGCTGCCCTGCAAGCAGCCCTGGAGCAAAGCGGGAGGGTAAAGCACAGGAATACCGCTCTCAGATGCCGGAGTCGGGTCTTTGGCAAGGTGTTGGTGCTGCTGGAGGTGCATGGCCTGATGGGGAACGAGCCCTGCCAGGCAGCCCTTAGGGGTTTTTTCCTGTCCACATCCTTGGACTGCACCTTGTCCCTTCCAACTTTACCCGTTCTGTGATTCCATAATCTTCAGGCAGGTGGGGCTGAGGCCCCTTGGCAGGGCATGGTGCCAGGGCTCTGTTTGCTCTGCCCATGGTCACAAGTTACCGGTGTCAGACCCCAAATGCAACCCTTGAAAAGCCCTGGGTGAGCTGCTCAGAGGGAAGAAACTTTATTTCAGGGAAGAAAATAAAAAAAACAAACTAAACAAAACAACCCCCCAGCAGTTGCGGGGAAAATGTGCTGTCTGCAACTGTGGGGTGTGAGGAGAAGGGGCCAAGAATGTGACGGGATATTAGTGCTGGCATGGCAGAGGGGAAGTGTTCAAAGGAAGCACCAAGAACACTAAACTATTCAAGTTTTTAAAGGATCAAAGCTGAAATACCTGCTTTGTGCCCTCCCCAAACACGCTGCTCCCCTGTGGGCTGTCTCAGGTGGGGATGGCCATGGCACTGTTGGCTCTTGAAGGCTTTGGGTGTTTGTTTGCTGACTCAAAGCCTCAAAACAGGATCAAATAGGATTGTCTTGAATGTAAAAACTGCTCCACACCATGCCTACCATCAAGTCTGGAACAGTGGGTGTGAACTGTAGTGGCCAGCTCCACTGTGGAGCTGGTGATCCCCGATGCCCAGTGGAGCTCTCCCCACCTCCACCAGGACCAGTTGGAGCTGGTGATCCCATCCCCATGATGGGAATGCACCTGGCAGCCTCCCCACTCCCCAGATAGCAAGGATATAAGGAAGAAGACCATGGGGGGACACTGGTGGCCCTGAGCACCCCAAAGAGGACAGGCAGCTGTGTCTTCACAAGTGAAACCTGGCTCCCGATAGTGCCAGTGCCTGTGCAGGGAGGGGACAGTACTGTGACACTCCAGGTCCTCCAGGGAAAGGTGGGTGCTAGCAGCACCACAGGCAGATGGAAAGACCAGGTAGCTCCCCAGGGCTTCACACTGCAGTAATCAACCTGTGGTCATTAGCTTTAGGTTTTTTCCTTCTATTTTTTTTTTAATTGTGTAAATGGATAACCATTTTCTTTCACAACAATGCAAGTCAATACCAAAGTCAGCTCACTGAAATGGATCTTCTACAATGGAAATTTTGAAGCACTTAAGGCAAGATTTTGTTCATCTCTAGCTTCAATTTAGCACTGAAAAAGTATCAGACCTTCAGGTACTGATTGGGTTAACAAAATTTACATGGAAATTTTCTTTTATTATTTTTTGGTTTAGTCTTTCATTTAAAGGATTTACATTACTATGGAAACTGATACTAAGACACATTTGTCTCTGGCTTTCTTTACAAATCCCTTAGTTCCTCTTTGATTTTTAAATGTAAAGGCACACAATAAAGCTTTATGCATTTATTAAAATATACAGATTTGGTAAATTTAGATTTTTTTTTCTTAGTATCTTGATTATATATATGTATTATATGTATAGTTGTCAACAACACAATCATTTGAAAATAAAAATCACTCCATAAGATATCTGCATATTTTTTTTCTTTCTCATGACACACTACAAGATCCCATTGTACAATGCACCAATGGGATTCTGGAAACCACAAAAAAAAATAAATGGATATAACAAACTGCTTTTAACAAATACACCAACTTCATACCAGAACTGCAGAGAATTGTTACACCAGAAAGTACCACCTGCAAAAAAAAAAGCAAGATATACATCAGAGAGACCAAACAAAACAAAGTGAAGGTCATTTACAAGCTGGATTTACAACATCCCACGTAGTTCAGGGTGTGATTTCGCTGCCATGTGGAGGATGCCAGCGTGCTGGGCCTCGGACTGAGGGGTTGTGATGGTGCAGAGTGAATTTGTGGACGGGTTGAGATCTTATAGAGTTGGTCTGGAAGGTCTGAGGTATTTATGCTCAATCTGTACCATGCACTGGGCCCCTCAGGAGGGGTGGTCAGGCATGAAGGGGCTCTGTGCCTCTCACCAGTGGTGGGAGCGGGATGGTACCGCTCTGCCTGTGCCCTTGTGATGGTCAGGGATGTGAGAACATCCCTCAGGGCACCCCGGGAGAAAGGCTGGATTTGGGGTTACAGCAAAACAAGCACTTGCGCCTCTTGCAGCACCCAAGACTGTCCCAGGGGCCAGCGGTGCCCAGGGACGATGGACACACCTGGACATTTTGCCTTGGCAGCTTTTGCTCGTGCCCACTGAAGACCCCAACACTGCTACAAGAGACAGCACATAAGCTCCCAAATGGAGACTGAATCCACATATCCCCCAGGAACTGCCACCCGGAGCAGGGGGCAGGGATCCTGCTGTGAACCAGGCCTGACCCAGACTGTGGCTTGACCATTTCTCCTTGAACAGCTCCATTGGGTGGGATGTAGTGGGCTTGGGAAGAGGGTACAGCTCCCACCCCTGACACGGCGAGAGCTGACGGCAGCCCATCCGCACCAGACAGTGCTGTGGCATCAAATGCTGTTTCCTGGCAGTCCCAGGATGTGGCACAGCCATCCTGCCCCAGCACTTCCTCGGGAAGGGGAAGGAAGATGGGTGAATGGGAACAAGAGCAGCCAAAGGGCTTCACTCAATGCTTGGATCCAATGGAGAGGTTCCTATAGACACCAAAGAGCAAGGGGTCAAGCCCCCACCAAATTATACGGCATAACTAGAGCAGACGTGACGACAGACACTGGAACTGGTAACTGCTCTGTAGCAAGAGATTAAGGCTGCAAGAAGAATAACGGGCTTTGATTCAACAGGGTACTTGGGCTTGAGTTTGTGGCTCGGCAGATGCCTAAATACCGTGAGGAAGCAGGACGAAAACGACTACCTGGGATATGGTACAGTACAAGAGCTGGTAGCAAAATAGCATCAATCTTTCTCCCTGAAAACGTAACGCCAGACCTGCGAGGTGCCATCTCTCTTGGGAACTTCTAAGGCATTGAGGAGGAGAGCAGCCAAGCGTGAGTGAGCAGTGACCGTTGCAAGAGGAGCTCAGCACCACCAGGAAGGTTTTCCAAGCTGGCCCGTGAGCGGTGCACACATTGCAAACAGCTTTTCGGTGGGACACACTCCGGTTTTCTGCTGTAGGAGCGTGGTAGGGGTGGGCAGCAGGAGGCAATGCCAGAGCAAAGCTTACAAGTCCATTAACCAAATCCTCACTCCCAATTGGAAGCCCCCACAGAGGTCAAACATCCCTTGGCTTGCCCGCAGCGCTCCAGGTTAATATCTGCAGAATCAGATGCTCTTCTCCACTGGGAAAATGACTGTAGTTTGTCACTGTTTGGGACAGGCGCTGCAGGGAAACTTCTGTGGCCCCAGGCAGAGCCTGTCCATTGAACCCTTGAGCTCTGGGAACAATGGGGGTGGACACACATCCAGGCACCCTCTGCACCCAGCAGCCACTTACCCACAGAGGGTGCCAGGCAGGTGTTTTGGGGGCTGAGTCTCATTCAGTGAACCAAAGTGTTAATGGTTCTCAATATCCATGAGGATAATTCCATGTCGGAAACTCTGCCCCCACTGATGTTAAATTTTCCTCTGGAATGCCAGCAGCAGCACCTGATACCAGGGATTGGTCTAGGCTGTGCTGAGGAGCCCCACGGATGGATTCACCTGTGACCTTCAGCAGCCAGGAGG